AAAAAAAAAAAAAAAAAAAAAAAAAAAAAAAAAAAAAAAAAAAAAGGGAGAGACGACGGCTATCGATCGTCGAGGTAATTGTTTACTTGTGCCTCGTGGAATGCGGAGAAAGAGGCGAAACAGGAAAGGCCTCGGAAGAGAGAAAGAAAGAATAACGAGGCGAGGAGGAAAGTCGCATAATCCTGGCTACAGTGCTGTTGAAGCGGCTCCATACGCGTAACCTCGTGTCTCTTTCCCACTCTATTTACACGCCGCTCCCGAAATATCGTCGGCTATATTTGTTAAGGTGGCATATTCATATTTTCGCCCGCACGCGCGCATGAGATCGCGTCGTCGGTTTATATTTGGGTCGCGCAACTTTGCGCCATGCGAAGAGAGCGAGAGAAGAGGGGATCCGCGTGAGCGGGTGGATGGGTCGCGTGTATGTACAGCCGTATATCTACGAAGAAAGAGATAATCGCGCGGAGGAGGAATCTTCTAGATGGATCTCCGTCGTCACCTCTTGCCCTATACACCTTTTCTTCCCACCTCCTTTTTCGCTTTGATACGATGCTCCCGAACACGACCCACTACACTGTTTAGAGTCCACCATCCTGTACATAATTAATATATATTAATTGTAAAGATGATGCAATTCGAGAAACTAATTTTTTCGTTCATTAAAAGGTGAATACAGGGTGGGCATTAAATTCAACGAGCAGCACATACCGGACTCGCCGCACAAGGTCTACATTTCGCCCGCGATGGGAGATGCGCACAAGCTCGAGATCGCCCAGTTCCCCGACACCGGCGTCCAGCCCGACAAGCCATACACATTCCTCGTACGCAAGAACGGCGCAAAAGGCGAACTCGACGGCAAGGTGCGTCTTGTTCAACGTTTTATATAATATGTAGATGTATTTTGTTGTTGTTGTTGTTGTTGTTGTTGTTCCTATACCAATAACATATACATGTGCTCTGTATCGAAACTTTAGCTAGTGTCGCCAAGCGGGGTCGAGGACGACTGTTTCATCCAGTCGATCGACGCCGAGGAGTACTCGGTGCGCTTCATGCCGCGCGAGAACGGCATCCACAACATCCACATCAAGTTCAACGGGGTCCACATAAACGGGAGCCCCTTCCGCGTGAAGGTGGGCAAAGTTGACGCCGACCCGGCGGCCATACACGCCCACGGCAACGGCCTCAAGGAAGTCAAAAGCGGCCAGAAGACGGACTTTGTCATCAACACGTGCAACGCCGGGGTCGGTGCTCTCGGGGTAACAGTTGATGGCCCGAGCAAGGTCGCCATGGACTGCACCGAGGTCGAGGAGGGCTACAAGGTCAGGTACACGCCCCTCGCATCCGGCGACTACTACATCAGCATCAAGTACAACGGCTACCACATTGTCGGGTCACCCTTCAAGGTCACCGCCACGGGTAATTATTGCTACTTGTTTATCCTCGTCTCCTTCTCTTTTGCATCGGATATTGTTTATATGCTTGTTTTGTTTTTTTTTTTTTTTTTTCGCCCAAAGGAACAAGCTTCGCCGAGCGAGGAGGACAGGAGACGAGCTTTATCGCGGTCGAGACGGTGCAAAAGTTCTCCAAGACCTCCAAGCAGGCGGGCCCCGTTATTCCCCACTTCAAGTCGGACGCCAGCAAAGTCACGAGCAAGGGCATGGGTCTCAAGAAGGCCTACGTCAGCAAGCAGAATCAGTTCACCGTGAATGCCAGTGATGCCGGTACGTCGTGTTGTATCGTAATTTTTGTCTTCTTGTTCAAATCAATTTTCTAATATGTTCAATCGACACGTTGCAGGAAACAATATTCTGTTTGTGGGACTTCACGGGCCCAAGGGACCTTGCGAGGAGGTGTATGTGAAGCACGCGGGTCGCAACAGCTACAACGTGAGCTACGTGGTGCGCGAGCGAGGAGAATACATTGTCATGGTCAAGTGGGGCGACGACCACATTCCTGGCTCGCCCTTCAAGGTCGAAGTCTAAGTTAACCACCGACTAGTTCCCTTGCATCCGTCATCTATGGAATTTCATTGCATCAGCGCGTTCGTTCATCGTCCATCAGCCACTACCCACTTAATAATCATCGAGTTTAATCAAACGAAGGCGGAGGAAACGAACTTGAATCTTGGGAGGAGAAAAGAAAAAAAAATAGTAAAAACCCCGAAAAACCATATTAAGTAAACTTTTTAGATTTTACTTTGTTTTGTTTTATCAATGTCATATTTTTTAAAGAAAAAAACAAAATTGTTTTTTTAATATATATTTAAACAATTTTTCTTCCAAGCCATTGACAAATAATGTTTTCACTTGTCAAGCTATTTTTTCGGCTTTTAATGTTTATGGAGAAAAAAAGTAATGTTGTGAGACTATCGTTGATTTTTATGTAAAAAAGTTTTTTTTGACTCTCTTTTTACTTTTGGTTTATGCATACGCACAAAGTGCTTTTTATGATTCGATATGTTGAAGCCTAAAACAAAAAACTAAATACATCGAATACACAGCTTTTAAATAAAAAAAGGCAAACAAGCAGACATATAAAATCACGTTAATATACGAGTCGACACATCAATGGATGCTTCTATATTAATTTAATGGAGGTGCACTTTCATTTAAATCGATGATATATTACTTTTTATAAGCATGTAATTATTATAAATCGATGCATATAGTGCTCCGTTTTTTTTTCTTATGAAAGAAGCATGCGAGCATTCGTAAATATAACATGCAATATACTGTTTTTCGTTTGACAAGAGAGTCAGTTATAGAAAAAAAGACAGAAAAAAATCGGTCCTTTTTATCTCAAAGCAAAAATGTGTTTCACTGATTGTGCCTTAACGTAGCAAAGTAATAAATCGAACCAAGAGAAAATCTCTCGAGTGTCGTGTAACAATGTGAAAAGCAGCCACGCGAAAGAGAGAGAGAGAGAGAAAAAAGAGAAATTAGTTTTATTATGAGCCATTTTATCTCTTAATCGACCTTATTACACGTACGTACAATGTATATGTTTATTTTATCGACAATCACTCACAGCAACACACACACACACACAAATCGCAATAGATTATTACATATATAAATACACACAAACATGTTGTTTACGATGTACTGTACATGAGTAAAATAAACAAACGAGTAAATAAAGCTAATATATACATACATATAAATAAATAAATAAATAAATAAATAAATATATTTATTAAAGTAAAACAAGCTACTTGTGTATACTTGGATTTCTCGAATACCTGACTTGCCCCCCCCCCCCATCCCCGTATATCCATCCCTTAACACACGTATATGGAGATATTGCCCTCCTACACGGCGCATCAAGAGAGGATATTTTTCCTCTCCCCGGGCCTCTTTGCCTTTCCTGCGCTTTTCCCTGATACGCTCTCTATTTGACTTTTCATTTTATTGCGCCTTTTATACCCCCAACTCGGGGTGGAAGAGGGCCGGCTTTCCCATCCATCAGACTCTCGCGCTTGGGAAAATTTCCCGCGAAAGGAGGAGGCCGGAAGTATAGAGAAAGGGCGTAACCGGCTGCCCCACCGTATCCGGCGAACGGAAGCGCGACTCCTACCCACACCTAATCATAGGTACCTCCTTGGAACTACGACGTGCATACTCTTACGGAAGTGGAGGTGGGAGGAGGAGTGGGCGCGAGCAAAGGTGGAGGGCGCACGGCTTCGATAGGACGGTGGGCGGCGCCAAGGACCGCGCTCACCTTCCAGTAGCCGCGCAGCTGCGTAAAACGAGCCCGCCACTCGACCTCCTCAAGCGGTTGCGCGCAAACACGCCCCACCCTCCCCGGGCCACGCTGAGCAAGAGAGCGAAAGAGGACAGAGAGGCTTTAATAGTCGCTGCCGGGACGCGCGCGGCGCTACCTCGCCGGCGCGCTCCTCTCGTGCTGTGTCGGACGAGTACACCAAAAGAATATTTGGAACACGAGCCTCGGCTAACTTATACAACCTATGCCCCGTTTCATGAAAATTATATATACGCCGTTCGTAGGATTTTTTTTGCATAATACAATCGATAATCGAGCTCGTGAATTTATGTCGATGGAAATATTATTTATTCGGGAAAAAAATACATTTGTAAGCTTTCGCACGGTTAATTCGATACCGTGAGAACTATATCTATGGTATCGTATGATGCGTATGAATTATTTAAAAATGAGAAAAGAGAAAAGCCATGAAAGGGTCATTTGTTTTGCAATTCTGCTATTCCTTTTTTTTCATATTTCTGGGGAAAATTTCTCGGATAAAATAAAAAAAATGGAAGAAAAAAGTATTCCCCCATTCGACTAAATCGCATAGCCAACCGCGCGATAAAGCTGTACAGTATACAAGTTTCTTTGCCATCGCCATTTGCGGCGGTATGTGCATGTGGAGGTTTATCGGCGCAGGTCACGATCTAAGAATAAAATTGTTCCTTCGCCACTCGCTGCTCTCGTAGCGCAAGCCAAAAGTGTTGGTAGAAAAGCAGTGGGGGGGGGGGGAGTTGACGAGGCAGCTCGGGGATTCGCCGGGCACGTACACAACACTCTTGCGGATCGCCGCGTTTTCCGCGACTCCGCGGACTCGCGAAGGAGAGTCGTTCCAAGCTGCACTCGAGGGGGGAGGGGAGGGCGAGAAGCCCCGGCAGAGGCGGAGCTTTCCTCCCGAGGAGAACTCCCTCTCGGCCCTCCCGCCGCGCCACGTACACCCACCTGCGCCTCGTGCGGATTTTCCTCCTCCTCCTCCTCCGCTTTCTTCGCGCCCCATAGGTCCATCCACTCTCTTTTTTCTACCCCACTCCACTTTCCCGTCATTTGCTCGGGAATAAATTCGCTCGCGTCCATGCGCGCCTCTCCATACCTGTATACATATACACGCGAGGTGAAAGGCAATCTTCCGCGCTAGCGGGAGCTAATGTGGCCGCCATTTTGTACCTCCGCCGAGGAGCGCGCTTTAATTACTCGCGTTGTATATATGGGACGCGCTCGCGGAAGAGATAAGCCAGCGATGGTCCAGATGTACTTACTTGGCTAACAAGTTTCTCCGGCTTTTGTTGGGTCGCCGGCAGCTTTTCTCCATTGTTTTCGCTTTTGCCTCCTCCTCCTTGGCTGCTGTGAGGCATTTTTAATTGCGCTCGACTCCCGTGTACGCTTTTCAAGAAAAATGTGCCCTTTGTGCACGAAAACAAACAACAAAAAAAAAAAAAAAAGAATAAATAAATAAAGCTGCTGCCTTGCGCGGCTCTAATTTGAATTAGCGCGTTTGAGTTATAGTAAAAACCCCGAAAAACCATATTAAGTAAACTTTTTAGATTTTACTTTGTTTTGTTTTATCAATGTCATATTTTTTAAAGAAAAAAACAAAATTGTTTTTTTAATATATATTTANAAACAACAAAAAAAAAAAAAAAAGAATAAATAAATAAAGCTGCTGCCTTGCGCGGCTCTAATTTGAATTAGCGCGTTTGAGTTATAGTGTTTGTACAATGGAAAATGGAAACGTGAGGGGAGAGAGCTTTTTTTTTTTGCAAGAAAACAAAATTCGAGGCGTCCATGTACTTCCATGATGGTTCTTTTATTTCGAGTACAGCACAGAATTTTTTCGAGATTTTCAGATATATGGTACTCGTCCTGGTGTGTGTATTTACAATTTTTTTTTTTTTTTTTTGTGTGCGATAAGGAGACTCGGCTCCTCGACGCTTTGTTCCATCGGATATTGCAATGCTCCAAGAGACGAAGAGATAAAAGTTTAACAATTATACCATATATTATTTATATTTATATATATATATATATATCGATTTATTTATTTATCGACGCTTTACATTCAATTCTTCTTTTCTTTCTTGTAACTCGTGTCTTAGAAGCACTGTAACCCTTTTCGATTCGTACAGTGTATCGGTCTATACAACGTCCTATGCAGAGCTCAGCTTCCGGCTAACCACGTCAAGGAATTCAACTATTCGATACAAAGAAACGTCTTTCGTATTCCGAAATCATATAAAATTTTTTTAATCTCTTCTTTTTTTTTATAATAATAGTAATAATGTAAACATTGTCCTAATATTTTATTTACACAAACGGATCGTCTGGCGCGTGAATCGCCACGACCGCGGCGAATTTCGCGAGAGTTGAGAGAAAGGAACAAAACAAACAAAGAAAAAAAGTATCAAAGTTTCATCCGTACGATGACATAATATACTTTCATTAAAACACGCCTGGCTCCTTGTTCTTCTTCAACGTGCGACGACTATCGAGAGAAATCGAGTGTGACGATGATTATAAAATGGCCAACGTGACGGTGGAATAAAAATAACATCTCGCGTTGGAGTGCGACGCGTCAGCCTCGTAAAATTCTGAAACAACCGATTTCCCTAAAAAAAAAAAAAAAAAAACGTAAGTACATCACGAGACCGACGCGTTCAACACGATACTTCGCAACGAGCGAATGGCGCATCTTTTACAAAGATCGGAAACAAGTATACGGAGGGGGGAAAAAAAAAATTGACTATCCACCAAAGAAACAGCGATATAGCACGAAAAAGGGGCTTCGCGATTATTTACACAGACACATGTATGTATTATATGCACGATTCGGCCAAAGGGAGGAGGAGGAGGTGATAAACAAACACTTCCGCCTCTTCTTGTGCTCCTCTATGGGAGTTAATTCATACCATAAAATTGTTAATACCTATATGCGTGCATGTACCACGGCTAAGTACAAGGTATCGGCCGAGCGGTGGGGCGGGACGAGTCATCACCAGGTAATTTACAAATGTACAGGGAGGACAGCGCAGGAAGGGACGGATGAGGTCGACGGAGGGATCCGGTTCACGGTCGTCCTCACAAGTAGATCCGGCGCAGGTCCGACGGCGACGTGATCATGTTGCACTGCGGGCACAGCTTCTTCGCCCCCTGCGAACATATGCGATAACGCGGCTCTGATCGAGGGGCTCGTACACGGTGGAGATCATATACATGGAAAAAGCTGGACACTTACCAACGTGTGAAGCCAGCACGACTCGCAGTGGACGTGCCAACAGCAGACCGAGGTCACGGGCTTCTTGTACGGCTCCTGGAAAGACAGTGGCGGTGAATATACACGAGCCGGTATCCACGAAAACAACGGATATATTGTATCCTCACCATGCAAATGAGGCACTTGAGCCCCTGGCCGCGCATCTCGGCCTCGAGTTCGCGGACGCGGCAGCGCAAAGCCTCGACGACCGGCGCGTCGGCGGTCTGCTCGTTTTTCGCGTCGAGCAGGTGCGGCGACGTGGACGACGAGGCCCCCGGGGCAGCCGTCGCCGACTCCTCGGGCTGGTGGTGGGAGCCGGGACTGGACGAGGGCTCGGTCTTGACCTCGACCATCTGGGGTCGGGCCTGCTGGCCGTTGGGCGAGATGACGGCCTCGCGCAGGGCCTCGCGCTCCTTCTGCTCCCGGGCCGAGCCCTCGTGTCGAGGCGTCACCACGTCGGCCTCGGTGTACTGGGCGGGCCCGTACTGGGCCGACTCGTCGCCGTCGACCACCAGGTCCATGTCCTCATCGTCCTGCTGGTGCGACGAGTCCGAGGGCACCCTCGCCCCGTTTATCGCCCTACGGTGCTGATTCTGCTGCAGCTGGTGGTGATGGTGGTGCAACGAGGACGCCGCCACCACTGCCGCCAGACCCGCCCCTGTGCCCGTTAAACACGTCGCGGGTGAGTTTCGAGGGAAATAGATAGGTACACCGCGGGATATGGCAAAGGGACGTACCGGAATAGCCTTGGAGGAGCATGGGGGTCGGCCGGACCCTCCGCTGGCCGGCCCACTCGTACTCCTCGAAGCTCTCGGTGTCGCCCTCGACGTCGACCTCCTCGTCGTCGAGGCCCTGGTGTCTGTCGGCGCCTCCGGTACCGGGGCCGTTCTGCCGGCTCAGGCAGCGCTCGACGTGCTGGTTGAGCTCCTCCGGCGTCCCCGAGAGCCGCTCGCCGCACACCGGGCACGCCGGCTCGTCCGCCTTCCTCTTGCGGTTCTTTATCCGAAGGCGCGCCTAACCACCAAGACGGATCGTTACACCCGCGCTTCGCTCCCCGCACCCAACATTATTTATTCAGTGTAGTGCACCAACCTGTCGGTTAGCCTTGATCCGCTTGAAGGTCTCCCACCGGCCGATGGGGGTGCCGTCGGCGGCCGAGGGTGTGTGCAGCAGTTGGTTGTGCAGGTGCTCGGGCGTGGCGGGTGGCAGCCCGGCCCGCGGTGGCCTCGGCCGCGGCGACGCCGAGGAGAGCTTGAAGAGCCGGTCAAGCTCCTGGAGGAAGTGCTGCTCGAGCTCTTGGGGCCTCACCGACGCGCCGCACACCGGGCAGCTGGTAGGATCGGCCGAGAACTTTTTCTTCCCTGCAACCAGACAAAGAAAAAAAAAATCATGACTCGCTTTGGCTCGTTTTATCTCTCTCGTGGCTGCCAGAGTTTGGCATTTTTTGCTACAATATACACTCGATCGAATCTTCAAAGTCGTAGTCTCCATGTTGGAGTCACAAGTATACTTCACCCATCAAACCTCTCGCGCAACTAAAATCAACTGCTTCTATCAAAAATTTTGGGTCACCAGGGATACTTTACCATGTTGTAGTATTTTTGACAAAAATTAAATTCATTTTATTGTCGTGAGTATAATAACTCTTACAATGGTAGATTATCTGGCTCGTCGTGCCTATACGAGCAGTGGGTCGCAAGTTGGGTATTTTTTAAACGACGAGCACTAAGTACTTGGTAAGTACTACTTAGTTCACGACGCAACGCCCCCCTGACAGTGTTACGTGTGTATTATAACACGCACACACCCGGGCAGTTTCAAAGGAAAAGCGTATATGTATATTAATCCGATCGTTTGTTTTTTCGGGGAGGGAAAAGCGGCCGAGAGTGTAATGGTATATGGGCACGTGTCGACGTAATACCACCACGACAGAGTCGACAACGAGGACGTTATGTAGATGCATCGTCGAGCAATAACACAAAACACCGGAAATCCTCGTGCATGTGTGTATACAAGTATAAGGTACGCCCGTCCGTTTTTCTTGTCTATTTTTACAAGCTGCTGCTATACACGATGTTCCGAATGGCCCTGGCTCGCTGCGGCTCTTCCCCCCTATAGACCGTAACCCAGCCCATCATCTACATTCGCCTTTGAAGGAAGATATACTACATGTTCTCAAGACCCTTGGATTTTCAACGCTCGGCGGTGCTTGATGTGTTTTTTTTTTTTTCTTCTTTTTTACGTCCACACTCCACGAGTTCTTTCCATCCCCATCTTTTTTTTTCGAAGTGGAAATGACGCGGTGCCACGGATTGTTCTGTTTTGACACGTGAGGCCGCAACCGAGGGATATCAATGTAATTTATCGTGTTTGGAGTTCTTACATGTATACATACCAATGGATCGAAACATCCAAGGGACCCACTCTCACATTTACGTAGATTGTTCTCTCCGAAAGGAGCACTTGTACACCTATACGGCTTGGAGCAAAAACACACCGCGCATACATGGTTGGCCGTAAAATATACATCGTACATGAATCGGTAGCCGTAGAGTTATGTTTACGAGGACAAATGTAGCAAATTAGCGCTCCTTAAAAGTACGTCATCGGAACGAGAGGGAAAGAAAAAGAAAGAAAGGCGAAACATATTTCTCACTCTCGCGGGGAGCGCGAGAAGTATTAGGTATACTAAAAGGCCCGAAATGGAGTCTCGAACAATCGGCGGACGTATTGAAAGGAGGATATAGGGGGAGGAAAAGTCGAAATGTAAAATCGTAAAGGTTTGCGTGTATAAAGCAGTAGCGTCGTTCCTTTGAAAGCACGAGCGCGGGAGAAAAGAAGGAAGGAAGGAAGGAAGGGGAGATTCGCTGAAGAGTAGAAAGAAAGAAAGAAATAAAAGGCTACCGGACTGTGACTCTCCACACCGATGCCGCTGTCTCTCCTCTGCACCTATACACATACGCTCGATCGTCGTTTATTTGTCGAATGCCCGGGGGCTGAGAGCGGCATTCTAAAGCGCAGTTTAACATATACACAAGATATAATATATCCCCGTCCTACGGAGCGCGGCACGCACGCGGGTACACCGGCCAGTGGGAGGATCGGATAGCTATAGCTGACTTCCTTCCTCTATGTATATATATACATGTATGAAAATACCTACCTTCTTTGTCCCGCGGATCCGTGTATTATTGTACCTATACGTTATACTTGCAGCATCTATGTATATATAGGTACACGGTATAACGTTAGTACCAAAGGGGAACGTCGACTATTCTTTCCCCTTTCAATTAAGTGGGCCCGCAAAATTTATGTGAGCGCCGGTACTCGATATTCGCGCCCTTTCCCTCAAGTATCTATCTTCCGCGCTGCACGAGAGGAGAGATTCGATGGGGCGGGGTTGAGGCAACAATCGGAAGAACTAGCCGCGCGTGTACTTATGAAAAATCCCGAGGTATAGGTGTACTTTGATACAGTTAATCCCACCGGCTTGCAATAATCAAGGAAGCAAGTGGCCCTTGCCTGCGGGCCTCCTTGTTGGGTTGGGAAGGGGGCTCTTTTCGCGCAATTAAAGAGAAAAAGGAGAAGAAGCTGCAGGGGCGTTGATGCGAGAAGGAAGACGAAGCAGGTGGTTAAGCCGCGGGCGCTCTTTATCTTTTCCTCTCCTTTTTTTTTTTTTTTTTTTTTTGCTCCGAAGGGCCAGGCGAAGAGATATAGGGGCGAAGCCGTTTCGCGGACTATCTAGACCATAACGGCCCTATCATTTATACAGTTGAAGGAGAACGCCGCCACTTGGGGGCCAAGACGATGAAGAAAGGAAAAAACAGTGAGAAAGGAGAGGCCATTCTTACGCCTTTTTGCCCCTTCCCCAAAGGGAAGGTGGAGGAGATAGAGGCGCTTGTAATACCTACCCAACGGTGTTATATACACATCTGGGCTCTCCTTTTTAATTAAAAAAGCGAGAGAGTGAGAGAGAGAGCCGATGTACGGCGGGAGCCCGCTCGGCTATCTCGATAATACTTAAGGAGCCACTTTTCGAGCAAAGAGAGATATAACGCGTCGATAAGCAGGTATAAGTACACGTCGCGTTTTACTTACGTCGGCTCGTGCCTCCACAGCCCCGGAGTGTTTCCGGTGTCTATGTGTACACGGCCCACGCTCCTTCGATAAGCACCTCTCGCGAGACAATTCACACCAACTCGTACTACACTCAAAGATATCTCCTGATACAAATATATTTATTATAAACAGATCAACGCGTATCGCCGATAACGGCTCTCGCTACCCCACCCCCGCGCACGTACTATGTTATCGCACGTATAGCCTGTGCACTTGGCGGAGGTGGGGGGGGGGGGTAAATGCAGCTGCGCAATCAAGGCAGAACAGCTATAGAGCATCGGCGAGAGAAAGGGGCGCATCGAGGCGTGCAGTGGCATCAACAATAACGCGACGTTACAAGTCAGCTTGGCTTTATGGTGAGCCGCGATTTGGATATTCCGGGACGCACGGCTCGGCATCTGAATGCCCCTTTGATTTAATACATAGAGAACATCAATGCCGAGCACGATTGTTGCGGAAGAAGGGAGAGGTAGCTTCCCTCCCCCACATCTCAGTTCGAGCGAGGTCCATCTCGGTGCAACAGCTAAGACGAAAGAGAGAAAAAAAAAAAGAAGAAAAAAAAGATTCACGCATTCGGAGGTGCCAAGTGCTCGTCGGTCGACCGAGGCACGTTCTTGTTAGGGGCATCCATACCGCGATTGCGAATTCCACCGTGTATATAGGTATCCCCCCTTGCTTTTGTATACACTCGCACGGACGGGCGCAATTAGCCGCGTCGGTATATTTATAATACCCCGTGTACGCCCGGAAAGTTCAATCCGAATAAAGCAATTAGCTCGGGTATTGACGACCGATTCGTGCCCGCCTCCCTTACTCTTTATTATTACCATCATTGTTGTTGTTGTTGTTGTTATTATTATTATTATTATTATTATAGGCTACGTGCCCATTTGTACCCCAGCCCCTTTTATTATTGCCATAGCTGTCGTACATATCTCATCGTATGCCCGATGTATATGTGTACAAACTCCATAAAATGCAACACCACCTGTATTTATACCTCTCTCGGTCGCGAAATTTATTATTTAATTAAAGAAATCGGAAATCAGAAGCGAGTGTCCGTGCATGGGTACCTATATATATACGTATGCGGGGCGATTGCGATGTATTCTTTCATATACATATGCGAGTATAAGATCGCGGGGGCATGCACGTACACACAAGCGCGGGGGCGGCTGGTGTTCCGGGAGTAACTTTCGTATAATCCGGTTTTAATTAAATAACCAGCGGGACCCAGGGCGCTCTTTCTCTCTAGCACGGGGAGTAAAATCGTACGGGGCGAAAGAGTTGCCGGCGCGTAACGAGGGGGTTGCAAGGGGAACCCTGCGGGGGCACGCACCAGCGGCTGTCGGACATTTAAGCGTCAGGCATTTAACCACAACTGTCGTCTTCCGATTGCCTGAGTTATGGCCCACCCACCCCCTCCTCTTTACATCCCTTATGAACATCGGGCTACCCGACGTGCTCTGCTCCCTACTCACGATTGTGTCCGCGTAAACGGCGCGTCACGCGAAATTTCACTTGCCAGAGAGAGAGAGAGACACGCATACCCATACACACACACACACCCACTGAGGCTCGCGTTCGCGCCGGCGATGTTTATTATGGCATTTTTCTCCCGAGTCGTGTAAGTCTCGCGGCGCGCATGAGTAATGAGGCCCATTAATATGGACTCTGTTGGGCGAGTATTTTTATTTTCCCACAGCCTCGATGATTTTTTTTCTTTTCCCCCCTATATGTACACTTTCTTTTTCGTGGTTTTCTCGAAAATATGGCCTCGAGTGCCTTACGCTACTTATTTACGTATACACACGCGTTGCCTCTCTGTGCAGTTTCGAGTGTTAGATTTAAACATTTGACCTGTAGAAAAACAAATCCATACGTGTATATATGCGAAATTTAGGTGAAACAGGTCACTCATGAGAACTTTTCGTCGAGTCCGTGTCGCCTTTGAATAATATCAAATGACTTTCAAAAAAAAAATTAAATAATAACAAGAGTCAAGTACAAAGAGAGCACTTTGCGGTCGGATCGGCCAAACCGCACGGGCAACATAGTATCCTTAAGTACTACACCGTGTATATATATATAAGGTACACGTACAACCTGTACGGAGGATTTACACACCAGACCAGACGCGCTATATACAAAGTAATATCAACCAGTGCGGTTAACTCGGAGCCGGTGGGGGGGGGGAGGAGGAAGGCAGTGGTTACGGTAGTACCGCGGTCAAAGTAACGAG